GGAAGGAAGGAGAGAAAAAAGGAAAGAAGGAGAGGGATAGAAAGGAGAGGGAAGGAAGGAAAGGAAAAAATAGGGAGGAAGGAAGGAAGGAAGGAAGGAAGGAAGGAAGATCAGGGGAGCAATTGTGTAGCAAATTTCCTAACTCTTGCTGGAAAATAAGAAGGAACGCGGGTAGCCCTCGACTTACAATTCATTAATGAGCATCCAAAGTTACAACAGCGCTCAAAGTGACTTATGACCGTTTTTCACATTTATGACCCTTGCAGCAATCCCCGTGGTCCCGTGATCAAAATTTGGGGTGTTTGGCAACCGGCTCATATTTATGACGGTCGCAGCGTCCCGAGGTCACGTGATCCCCTTTTTGCGACCTTCTGACAATCCAAGTCCATGGGAAGGTCAGAGTCACTTAACATCCGGGTTACTAACTGAACACCTGCAGTGCCTCGCTTAACAACCCGGTGGCCAGAAAGGTTGCAAAATGGGGGCCAAACTCCCTTAACTACCATCTTGCTCAGTGGTCGTAACTAGAGGACCATCTGTAATCCCTTTCATCAAAGTGTCAACTAAAAAGATACTCCTTTGGTCTTTTTAGCTGCCAGCAGGGAGGGAGTGGGGGAAAACAGTGCATTCCTTAAATGCCCAGATAATCACCCTGGCAGCCCAAAGTTGTCGGAGCGCAAGAATATTATTGGAGAGCATGATCGATGACTCTTGGCTATGGATATGTCCCATTGGAGAATATACATCCAGGAGGTGGGAGGAAGACCAGGGTCAAGGGGGAAATGAATGATGCATTTTAGTGTCGGCTGCACCCAGCGAACGCCGACATGGCCACTTCTGATAAATTGATCTTTTTTACTCCGAGAGATACGGCTAGAGACTTATGATTTGAATGGGGGTGGATTTGTTGGAGTCCTGACACAAAGCAGGTGACCTTCATCAGAGATGTTTGCTTTGCAGTCTGTGGTTAATCCCTACTCTTCACTAAACGGTCATGTAGGGCCTGGAAGCCAGATGGGATATCAAAGTACAATAAATTATTATCATTATTACCATCCGCTTTCTTACATGGAAGTGTAGGAAATGGATCAAAATGCCGCCAATCGTTTGTAAACGCCAACCGGTCGCCAAGTGTCTGAACCAGGCGGTAACACGCGGCTCCGGAGCTGCATGTGGCTCTTTCCATCCCTCTGTTGCTGCTCCATTGCTCAAAATATGTGTCACAACCACCACTGTGTGACACCCACCGGCATGCAATTTACGGAGCTTTTCAAACACCCCCCCCCCCAAACCGGTAGTTTTCTGGATCCCGGTGTTTTCCGTGGGAAATGGATCCAAATGGCTCTTTTGAATGTTTCAGATTGCTGACCGCCCCCCGCCCGCCCCCCCGGGTCCAAACCGTGGTCCTCGTAGTCTCGGAAGTGGCGGGACGACGTCATCGATGTGGGGACAGGTCATAAGTCACCTTTTCCCATGTTAAATGAACGGTCGTAAGTCGAAGATTACCCGCAGCACCTTCCGGAGCAATTTGCTTTCACAATTTTGAAGCTCGCCTCGCCTCTAGGGCCAAATCATTTTCTAAGCTGCTTTTTTTTTGTGAAAGGAAGTTCTCTCCTCCCAGCCCAGCTCAGCCCGTCCGCTGATGCCCGTTTAGGAAGTTAGCACCCACTCTCTCCCAGAAAAACGAAATATTCTAGGAAATATTAAAAAGTCAGAATACTTCCCCTAAAAGTAGAAACTCAGAGAGGCACAAACTCAACTCCCCCACCTTTGTTAATGGGCCATTAAGGCCTGGGGCAGTCTGTTCTACATAACAAAGACCTACCTCCTTCAGGCGGAGCCATTCAACTGCCCTTCATTGCACCGCCTGCCAAGTTTCAACCAAACTTAGCACACAGACAACCTACAAAGCTAGCTATGATCTCTGACGGCGAACAATCAGGATACTCTTCCTGTGCCCAGGAAGTTCAAAGCCAGAGAGGGTATAAAACCCAGGGACTCTCCGCATCTCTTCCCTTTTCACCCAGGATCTCCAAGGCACGTGACCCTGTCCACCATTAAACCATCTTCCCAAACAGCCTCCATGTTTCCAGTGTCTTTCTCCCCCACCACTTGGAACTGAACCCAGAAGGATGTTTCTTCCAACACCCGTATTCTTTGAGAAGGATACAAAACAGACTTTGAATGTTGTTGAACATGGACACCCCGGAGAGGAAGCCGGCCAGCTCTATCGCAAACAGCCCGAGAGTGACGGACAAGGCCACCACCATCCTAGAAAGAGAAAAAAACCACGAAGAGACAGGCTGGTTAGAAACTCTACCACCTAAACCAGCGGGGTCGGCAACCTTAAACATTCCCAGAGCCGTTTGGATCTCCCAGGGGTTGAAAAGCTCAATAAATCGCCTGCCAGCGGGGGTCGCACAATGGTGGTTGTGACACATATTTTGAGTGACAGGGAGCCGCAGTGGAGGCTCCAGAGCCACAGATTGCCGACTTCTTGAAAAGAGATTAAATGGCCAATATGTTGTTCCCTAAATTGTGGTGGGCCAGGCAAAGGAGACAAATCCTTTTCGTATTTAAAACATTTTGTTCCCTGCATTTGGTTGCGTTTTTTAATCTTGGCCGACCATGTTTCTAGCAAAAACTAGAAAGCGTGAAATGGCGGCTTCTTCCTTCCATGTCGCGGCTTATTTCAAACTGCCAAGCGGTAATTAAATATCCTGCAGGTCAAAGCTGTGAAATATACAGTATTTTACAACCACAGGAAGCTTTAAGAAGTTCGTGTGGAGTTCAGCTCTCCAGAATTCCCCAGCCCCGAAGCTGAACTCCACACAACTTAAAGCAGCCAAAGTTCTCAAGATATTACAATATCAACCACCTTTTACCTCCAGTCACTTCTCCCTGTATTCAAGTTTTGCATTAATGACTGGCTTCTTAAGATCAAACAATCTGGGGTTCTTTTTTTCCTTCCCCCGTTTGCAAGTTCAATAAAAAAAAAAAATCCAGGATTTGGGGCTCTTCTGCTGCAAGACAACGAAGAACCCAAAACTGGCTCAGATCCCGAGCACAGGCGGTTAAGCTTCCAATGGTACAATACCCATCCTCCTCAGCCACCAGCCCTGACCGCCATGGTCCTCAGTCGACGGAGAAATCAAGAAAAAGAAGTCGACATTCGTAGCTGCCCCGAAATTCTCTCTTTTAAATACTCCGGGGAAAAAAGCTTCTTGTCTCTGTTGACCCATAAGCAAACAGCGTCAGGACCCAGAAAATCTCTCAAAAGATTTTGAAATTCAAGGCTACTCCCTGACTGCAGCAAAGGTGGATTTTTAGCAGCAGCAGCAGCAGTAAAATGACTCACTCGGTGTCTCGGCGGGCATATTCTTCTGGTGTACACTGAAGAGGGAGGGAAGCACGGACATTGTTTTCCTGGAGGACAAAATAACATGGAATAATGCAGCAACAGCTGAATAGGGGTCATGCTTTGGAGAGGTTTTTTTTTTAGTGGGGCAGCAAAGCCAGAGCTCTTGTTTTCTCCAAAGTGCAGAGGTTTGGTGGAGGAAGACTGGAATGGATGGATGGATGGATGGATGGATGGATGGGGTTCCCCTTGTCCTTTCCGATGTCCCCAGCAGGGTTGCCAGGAGAAGGAAGGAAAGGGCAGGAGCTTCTAAAACCATCCAAGGTGGGTTGAAGGACTGCAGAGAAGCTCTTGTCAATGTAAAAATGGATCCACCCATTCATCTCTTGATCTATCCATCCATCCATCTACCATTTCATCAACTCTATTTTTATCATTATATCTATCTATCCATCCATCCCATCTATCAGCTATATATCTTTCATCTATCATTATCTATCTCCGTCTATATATTTATCTAATCTATCATCGATCTATCAATCCAATGAATTTTTCATCTATCATTTCTATCATTTATCTATATCCATCCATCTATCCTACCTATCTCACCTATGTACCTTTCATCTATCATTATCATCTATCTCCATCTATATATTTATCATTGATCTACCTATCTAGTATCGATCTAGTGATCTCCCTATGTATCTTTCATCATTTCTATCATCTATCTATCTATTCCTCTATTCTATCCAACCCATCCCATCACCTATGTACCTTTCATCTATCATTATCATCTATCTCCATCTATATATTTATCTAATCTATCACTGATCTATCTATCTATTATCGATCTATTGATCTCCCTATGTATCTTTCATCATTTCTTTCTTTTTCTTTCTTTCTTTCTTTCTTTTTCTTTCTTTTTCTTTCTATCTATCTATCTATCTATCTATCTATCTATCTATCTATCTATCTATCTATCTATCAATCATCTATCTATCTATCTATCTATTTATCTATCTATGCCTCTGTGGCGCAGTGGTTAGAGTGCAGTACTGCAAGCTACTTCTGCAGCCATCTGCCTACAATTTGGCAGTTCAAATCCCACCAGGCTCAAGGTTGACTCGGCCTTCCATCCTTCCAAGGTGGGTAAAATGAGGACCCAAATTGTTGGGAGCAAGAGGCTGACTCTGTAAACTGCTTAGAGAGGGCTGTAAAGCACTATAAAGCGGTATATGTCTAAGTGCTATTGCTATTGTTATATCTATCTCATTTCTATATTTATCTATATCTATCTATCTATCTATCTATCTATCTATCTATCTATCTATCTATCTATCTTTTTTGAGGAAACATCCTAAAAGCAAAAATGAGGCCGAGCGGGAAGAAGATATTTGGAAGAGGTCGAGGGACCAGGAATTGAAACTTGGAAGGAGATTCTCACCCTGGACCAGAAGATGGTGATGACAATGACCAGATGAGCTGTGAGGACCAGGAATCGAGAGGGAACCAGTCCGCTGACCAACGGCATCCTCTGCAAAAGAATCCAAGGAAAAACATCAAAACACAGAATGACAGAGTGAAAGGGGCTTCAGAGATCTTCTAGTCCAGCCTGCTTAAGCAGGAGACCCTATGTCACTTCAGACAAATGATTGTGCAATCTCTTCTTTAAAAACCCAGTGTTGGAGCAGCCACAACTTCTGTCTCACTGATTAATCATTTCCACTATCAAGAAATTTCTCCTTAGTTCTAGGTTGTTTCTCTCCTGGATTAGTTTCCACCTGCTGCTTCTTGTCCTGCCTTCAGGTGCTTTGGATAATAGCTTGACCCCCCTCTTCTTTGGGGCAGCCCCTCCAAATATTGGAACTCTGTCGTTATGTCCCTCCAAGACCTTTTCTTCATTAGACCACTTCCCACAGCCATTCACCATAGCCAAAAATTAAAATTCTAAAACGGCAGGAACTCTTAAGGCACTTTCATGGACGGAGGAAATTTTGCATCCACAAACAATGTCTATGGAAATTCTCAGTCATCCAGGTCATGGTTGTCCTAAAAGTGCTTTTTTTCAAGAGGCAACTGGACTTTCTGGTTTTTCCTTGAAGACGTTTCGCTTCCCATCCCAGAAGCTTCTTCGGCTCTGACTGGATGGTGGGGAATGGAAGGATTCAGTCAGAGCTGAAGAAGCTTCTTAGATGAGAAGCAAAACATCTTCAAAGAAAAACCAGAAAGTCCAGTTGCCTCTTGAAAAAGCATCTTTGGGACTTTAAGATGGGCTTTCCTTCCTTCCTTCCTTCCTTCCTTCCTTCCATCCATCCATCCATCATTTCCTTTCCTCTGTCCCAAAGGTGTCGTTTCAAGAAGCAACTGGACTATCTGGTTTTTCTTTGAAGACGTTTCGCTTCTCATCCAAGAAGCTTCTTCAGCTCTGTAGGGAATCTTTCCATTCCCTACCATCCAGTCAGAGCTGAAGAAGCTTCTTAGATGAGAAGCGAAATGTCTTCAAAGAAAAACCAGAAAGTCCAGTTGCCTTTTGATAAAGCATCTTTGGGACAGCCACAAACGATCTTCATCAATTCGATGTGAGGTAGTAGTACCAACGTGTATTCAGGTAATCCTTGACTTACAACGTTCGCTTAGTGGCCGTTGGCACTGGAAAAAGTGACTGATGACCATTTTTCACATTTACGGCCGTTGCCGTACCCCACAGTCCCTTGATCAAAATTCAGACGCTTGGCAACATATTCATATTTATGACGGTTGCAATGTCCCAAGTTCATTTCATCGCCTTTTGCGACAAGCAAAAATCAAGCGGGCGGCCAGATTCACTGCACAACCCTGTTAGTTGTTAAGAATTTCAGCCATTTGCTTAACCAGGGTGTCGATTAAGGTCGTAAAATGGGGCAAAACTCACTTAATAAGTGTCTAGCTTAGCAAGGGGTGCCATTTGCAGTCATAAGTCGAGGAATACCTATATTGGGTTCTGTTTTCTCCACCTTGTAACCTACTTTGTGTGCACTGATCTCAACAGAGTCCTGGGGTTTCTTCAAACCCGGTTCTTTTATCAGGGTTCATTCGGGTCCCCCATCTTTGGGGTGCAGAAATCCAGCTGCCGATTCCCAGTTTTCAGAGATCCAGGATCGTTTTTAAGGGGCTTCTTCTTCTAAAGGTCTTTTTTCTGAGCGAAAAAATCAATGGAAAATTAATATTTAATAATAATAATAATAATAATAATAATAATAATAATAATAATAATAATAATAATAATAATAAAAA